CACATACACCCCCCCACACACACACACAGACCTGCGTCCATCCCTAAAGATGACCAGATCCCTGTCCTCCCTGTTGGCGGGCCGGAACCTGACACAGGTGGCCTTCTCCCACTCGGACATAGCACTCAAGATGGCGTCCCTGTCCTGGGCCGCTGCAGGGACAAATACGTCATCAGATAATAATAGACAGCGTAGATAATAATAGACAACGTAGATAATAATAGACAGCGTAGATAATGATGATAGATAGCGTCTGTGGCGCCATGCAGAAGAGTCAGGCGCTCGTCATTTTTTGGACATGTGGAGTTCATAATATTCATTCATAAAGCTTGTTCATTAATTGTCTTTCATTTGATGGAAAAAATACCATCTATCTTAAATAGGAGTCGAGGTATTTCCGATTGAAAAAGTTGGGGTCACCTGGTTTCAGATGACAAATTATCGAGAAAATGGCCGACAAAGTTAGGTAACTTCCACATCTTGAGAAACCTTGGGAAATGAAAAAAAAAAAGTCGTTTTTTTCTATTTCATTTTCTTGACGAGCTACTGGCCTCTCCTTGATGCCTTACGTTTATCTAGCGCAAAATTCCCTCTCAACAGCAAGGTCTATGCGCTTCACAATCTATATTGTTACCCTAGGAAACTTTATAGCATTGTGAAACAATCTCAACTTCCTGAGAAGCATACAGTGCAAGCTGCCCTTTAGAGGCTCTAAACACAAATATACTGACAAGATGATTCGATTTCTATGGCCAGGTACTCATTCCCATCTGGGTGGAGTGAGGAAAATTTGTGTAAAGTGCCTTTCCCAAAGACACAACATCGGGACTGAGGCTCCAACCCCTGAACCCCCGAAATCACTACCTCGTGATTACGATTCTGGTATTCTAACCACTTGACCACCCACACTACAAGACACAGTGACGTCACGAGGAGATGACATCGTTTTATAGAAATCTCCTATTTTATCTCATGAATTTATATGCTTTTGGGGGATATAAAAGGCTATTTAGTGTAAGATTTAGTCCCACTTTTGAGAGCATGAGTGTTTCAACCAGTTGGGACCTTGAGTATTTCTACCAATTTTCTCCCGCTTTGACCAGTGAAATATTCAGAATCACTTTATTCTACCCACGACCTAGACACCTTGCCCATGCCCCGTCCAAACGACGTTATTCTGGGCGTCCAATATTAATCACAAGCTATAGCTTATCATTCTTCTAATACATTTGACAGGTTTGTAACAACATTAGTTGATGGAGGATGTCACTGGTTGGCCTTACTTTTCTTTCCAGATTTTGTTTCTGTCTATCCTGCTTTTTTCCTGTGCAGTAAATGCCTGTTATGGTGTTGACAAATGGCTCTTTGCTCAAAACTATAACACAAAAAATATGACTTGAAAAAAACCCACAAACAAAAAACAAACAAACAAAATAAAAAGAACAAGAAAACATGAAAATAAACCCCTCCGAAAGCGAGCACTTACGGAAGGTGGAGTTGAAGATATAAGGGATGACGCCATTTTTCCACAAAGAGAAACCATTCGCTGACGCTTGGCGCTTTTTCCTTCGGCCTGGTACCATCTGCCTGAGAATAACAAACACAATGTCATGTCGCTTGAGATATACATTTTAATGCTGTCCGCTACAAATATAGATTGTAAAGCTCACAGA